TTATTGACTCTGAGCCTTGGAAACTGGAGAAGCACATAAATATTCAACTCACTGCGCATTTTGATGTGCTGGGAGATCTCCAGCAGCTCCATCTCTGTAGGCATGTAGCCCATGGTTCGCATGCAATCGCCCAGATCTTTGTAGCTGAGGTAGCCATCCTGATCCGTGTCAAATTCCTTGAAAGCATCTAGCAGCTCTGCCAGGAAAGGTGAAAAAAATCAACCAAACAAACAAACTTTGCAGACATGAAGCAAAGGTTCCTTTACCTTGACTTTTCTTCCCCCATTGGGGACTCAGGGAAAGGCCCATAGCCCTGGAAGGCAAGCACACCCTTGGGCTCTCTTACAGCCATGGCCATTCAGAGGTTGCCAGGAACTGGGCAGGCTGGCTTTAAGCTAACAAGCACAAGTAATCTTTGTAGAGATGTGTTGCCCAGATAGCGTATCTGTCATAATCATTCTGATAAATAAAATTGCCACGTTGGCTAATTTGTAACCATCATGACCATTTACAGTTTGCAGGAGAGAAAGTTTACTACCTTAATAAACTCCTATACATAAACAATTATTATTATCACAGATTTGACTTTCTATACTTTCTTTTCTACTAATATAAATCTTTACCATCTTTTCTCCTTAAAGAACAAAAAAGGGAAAAAAAATTAAAAAGAGGAAGGCAAATATGCTCTTAGGATAACATTTATTGATGTGCAGGTAGTCCTCGACTTACAACAATTTGTTTAGTGATCATTCAAAGTTACAACAACACTGAAAAAAGTGATTTATGACTGGTTTTCATGCTTATGATTATTGCAGCATCCCCATGGTTACATGATCAAAATTTGGGCACTTGGCAACTGGCATGTATTTATGACGGTTGCATTGTCCAAGGGTCATGGGATCATCATTTAGAACTTTCTCAGCTGGCTTCTGATAAAGTCAGTCACAAAGTGAAGTCAGATGCACTTAACAACAGTGATTTGCTTAATAACTATGGTAAAAACGTTGCAAAATGGAGCGCAACTCATTTAACAACTGATTTGCTTAGAACAGACATTTTTGGGTCCATTGTGGTCGCTAGCCGAGCACTACGTGTAAACAAATTTTTTTGTTTTGAATTTGTTCCCCCTTTTTTTGCAAGAAACTCATCTCGCTACAGGTCTGGAAACTTCTTGATGATTTATGCGTTTTGCCTAATTGATGGCAATTCATAATTAGCTCCAATAAATGACAATGGTTAAACTGAGTCTGCCTCATATCTTTACTTGTCCCCGAAGAACTGTTCGTCCTCTGTTGGTCACTCCCTTTCTTAAAAAAATGTCTGTAATATTGACTTAACAAACTAATTTTTTTTATTAAATCACAAACTAGAATATTCTTTAGTCTGTGAAACTATCTGAAATTATAAATAATCAACTAAATTAAATTAAGATAATTAAGTCTCTGAAAACAATAAACATTAAAAAAAATTAAGTCTCCTCTAAAATGGACACTGAAAAAGAACTAAATTTATGCAAGTGGAGGCTGGGAACTGGGTAAATCAGTAAAAGTCCTTTTACTGATCAGCAGTGAAATAGTGAGGACTGCATCTTCCCCTCATGGCCAAAATCTTAAGATCCTATATCAGTGATGGCGAAACGTTTAGAGACCGAGTGCCCAAAAACTGGCCCCGCCCCTGCTCCATCCCCTGCCCCGCCCCCACTCTGCCCCCCATCCCCCACCCTGCCTGCTCACAGGACCACTCACACCTCCAGGGCCCGCCACAGATCGCCCAGGCAGCCCAGCAGCGCTATGGCGGCCACACCCTCTGCCCGCGCCCTGCAGCATCAACTGCATGATGGGGTGTGAGGGCAGAGTCTTGTCTACGCTGCCTGGCTGCCATGTCCTTGGCTGCGATACTCCGCGTGGGCCACGCTCGAGGGCGAGTCTCCTTCAGGGGAGCTGCTGGAGAGGAGGGGGTCATGGGGGGAGGCAAGGCTGGGGCAACGGCACGTGTGCCCACAGAGAGGGCTCCGAGTGCCGCCTCTGGCACCCGTGCCATAGGTTCACCCGTGCCATAGGTTCACCCGTGCCATAGGGCACCCGTGCCACCACTGTCCTAAATCCATGTTCCTAAAACATTGCCAACTTACCATCCAGTTCCAACGGGGAAAGCTCTCTTTCCTAGCATAAAAAAGGAAGAGAAAAAGGAGGAAATGTTTACTATAGATATCTCATCTTTTCTTCAAAAACTAAAGGTGATATAATAGCACATCTCACTTTACCACCTGAAAACCAGAGGATCCCATGTGCAGAATATAGGGGAATGTATAAAAGAAGGGAGGGAAAATTCATAAGTAACGTTTATTATAATTTCAGCTATATAAAGATCTAACTTGCTGAAGAAGCCTTATTAGAGCTTCTTTNTTATTGACTCTGAGCCTTGGAAACTGGAGAAGCACATAAATATTCAACTCACTGCGCATTTTGATGTGCTGGGAGATCTCCAGCAGCTCCATCTCTGTAGGCATGTAGCCCATGGTTCGCATGCAATCGCCCAGATCTTTGTAGCTGAGGTAGCCATCCTGATCCGTGTCAAATTCCTTGAAAGCATCTAGCAGCTCTGATAGGAAAGGTGAAAAAAATCAAACAAACAAACAAACTTTGCAGACATGAAGCAAAGGTTCCTCTACCTTGACTTTTCTTCCCCCATTGGGGACTCAGGGAAAGGCCCATGGCCCTGGAAGGCAAGCACACCCTTGGGCTCTCTTACAGTCATGGCCATTCAGAGGTTGCCAGGAACTGGACAGGCTGGCTTTAAGCTAACAAGCACAAGTAATCTTTGTAGAGATGTGTTGCCCAGATAGCGTATCTGTCATAATCATTCTGATAAATAAAATTGCCACGTTGGCTAATTTGTAACCATCATGACCATTTACAGTTTGCAGGAGAGAAAGTTCACTACCTTAATAAACTCCTATACATAAACAATTATTATTATCATCACAGATTTGACTTTCTGTACTTTCTTTTCTTCTAATATAAATCTTTACAATCTTTTCTCCCTAAAGAACAAAAAAGGAAAAAAAAATTAAAAAGAGGAAGGCAAATATGCTCTTAGGATAACATTTATTGATATGCAGGTAGTCCTCGACTTACAACAATTTGTTTAGTGATCATTCAAAGTTACAACAACACTGAAAAAAAGTGATTTATGACTGGTTTTCATGCTTATAATTGTTGCAGCATCCCCATGGTTACGTGATCAAAATTTGGGCACTTGGCAACTGGCATGTATTTATGACGGTTGCATTGTCCAAGGGTCATGGGATCATCATTTAGAACTTTCTCAGCTGGCTTCTGACAAAGTCAGTCACAAGTGCATGATTCACTTAACAACTGCATGATTCACTTAACAACAGTGATGCGCTTAATAACTGTGGTAAAAAGGTTGCAAAATGGAGCGCAACTCATTTAACAACTGATTTGCTTAGAACAGAAATTTTTGGGTCCATCGTGGTCATTAGCCAAGCACTACATGTAAACAATTTTTTTTATTTTGGATTTTTTTCCCCTTTTTTGCAAGAAACTCATCTCGCTACAGGTCTGGAAACTTCCTGATGATTTATGCGTTTTGCTTAATTGATGGCAATTCATAATTAGCTCCAATAAATGACAATGGTTAAACTGAGTCTGCCTCATATCTTTACTTGTCCCTGAAGAACTGTTCGTCCTCCGTTGGTCACTCCCTTTCTTTAAAAAATGTCTGTAATATTGACTTAACAAACTAATTTTTTTTATTAAATCACAAACTAGAATATTCTTTAGTCTGTGAAACTATCTGAAATTATAAATAATCAACTAAATTAAATTAAATTATTTAAGTCTCTGAAAACAATAAACATTAAAAAAAATTAAGTCTCCTCAAAAATGGACACTGAAAAAGAACTAAATTTATGCAAGTGGAGGCTGGGAACTGGGTAAATCAGTAAAAGTCTTTTTACTGATCAGCAGTGAAATAGTGAGGACTGCATCTTCCCCTCATGGCCAAAATCTTAAGATCCCAAATCAGTGATGGCGAACCTTTTAGAGACCGAGTGCCCAAAAACTGGCCCCGCCCCTGCTCCATCCCCTGCCCCGCCCCCGCTCTGCCCCCCATCCCCCACCCTGCCTGCTCACAGGACCACTCACCACCTCCAGGGCCCGCCACAGATCGCCCAGGCAGCCCAGCAGCGCTATGGTGGCCATACCCTCTGCCCGCGCCCTGCAGCATCAACTGCATGATGGGGTGTGAGGGCAGAGTCTTGTCTACGCTGCCTGGCTGCCATGTCCTTGGCTGCGATACTCCGCGTGGGCCACACTCGAGGGCGAGTCTCCTTCAGGGGGGCTGCTGGAGAGGAGGGGGTCACGGGGGGAGGCAAGGCTGGGGCAACGGCACGTGTGCCCANCTCTCCATATTTATTTTTCATTGCCCAATTTCATCACTAGCTTTCCTTCAGGCCATAAGGGACTCTGGTTGGAAAATATAGGTTTTCTTGAATTTTTCTTTTTAATGGTTCTTATTGAAGTTTTTCAACAGAATTAAAAACAATACAAATTTTGAATTAAAGAAGAATAAAGTAACAAGTAGTATAATAAGTGAAAAAGAAAAAAGAAAAATGAAAACATTCTAAAGTAGCCTTCAATCTTCTTGACAGCAGTTATAGATTTATATTTCAATAACATTTATATTTAATATTTTAATCTCTGATTCCAAGGTTACATCATATATTGTATGTATTTGAACCCAGAAATTTCTGGCTTTTTACAATTCTGCCAGGCATGATAAAATGAACTTTCATGTTATCCACATTTCCATCAACATAATTTTGAAGTACGTATATATGTTCTGGACAATTTTTCTGGAGCCACACCAACAGTACATCATTTTACATTTTTCCCGTGTGTGTGTGTGTGTGTGTGTGTGTATTTAGTGGTTATTTTGACAAACTTCAAACATTCCTAATTTCTTGGGTCTAGGTAAAGTCATTCTAGCTACTAAGGACTCGTCATCAAAGCATGAGATCTGCTATTAAAAAGAGGATATAATGCTATTTGCCCTCCCTGTTTCCCTCCCTCTATACCTCCAGTGCCAGAGTCATATCTTAGAGGGTCTCACATGGCTTGCATATTAAACATTTTGCAGGAAACAACAGTCTTGGATGCCAAGGCACTTCAGTGCAATTTCCCAGGATTCTAGTGACATTAGTGATGAGGACAGTGAGACCCCCCCCTCCCCGTTTGCCATTCCCTGTGACCTGCACCAGAAACCCATGGTTGTTTTAAATCTCAGTAGGCTAAATGGATGGCCATGGAATAACTCAGTAAATACGGATAAGGAGACTTTAATGACATTTAAATTTACTTCCCATTCCTCCTTTCACTTTTACTACATATGTAAGAAGGGGAATCCTGGCAACCAGGACCTTCTCCATCCCAGATGCCAAGAGAAAGCCTGGCATGGTTTCCACCTACCCCCCCACACACCGCTATATTGTCATCTTGGCATATTTCATCTCCAGCAGAGAATGGGCATGGCTGAAAGTGAACAACTGGGGGAAGGACTTGGGGCATCATGGAAGTGAAACCCTCTTCCATCAAACTGTGCTCCCTAGCGACTGCAGCAGCAACAGAGGAGGAACAACATCAAGGCAATAGTGATAAAGAGGTAATAAAACCAGTGGTTAATGGGTATGGCTGGGTGAAACAGGACCTGTGTCTAAAAACTGTTGATAGGTCAGAAATGTAGAGGGCCTCCATGCCAACGATCTGTCAGCCAGGCAGCTTGACAAGTGGCTTAACCGGCTGATCCGAGTACTACCTGCCTATGCTCACCCAGCCCTGCCTCTTTGCATGTTAAGATAGAGTTGTTAGTGTTGTTTTTCCTGCCAGCACAGAATGCTTGGTAAGAAGAACAAAGATAAGAGACTCCAGCAATTCCTCTCCTTAAGTTGTCCTGCACTGCAGTCTGCAAGGAGAGCCCCAGTGTTTGGCCTTTTTCCTGTAACAGAATAAAAATTAAGCCAACATGCTTTTCTGCCAGCCCATGGACTAAAGAACGGCCCGCTAAGGCAACTGTGGAGCTTGTCCTTCGTTGGCATTTTTTCAGCTGTTGAGGAGGGCCGATGTACAGTATTAAACCTTGCAGAAACTTGACTGATCAATTTTACCAATTCTACGCCCTGATGTCCCACCCAACAGGCCCTTGACCTTCCTATTTGTGGCACGCAGCCTCCCACAGAGCCTGGTGGGGTCTTCGGAAAATTGCCTTCTCCTGCTCTGCAGCCACTCACTCACCTTGCCAAAGACCGTGTTGAGGAAAGGGGAATAGGCCTTGGTGGCAGCTGCATGAGGGTCATCTTGATGCTTCTTGCTGTGCTTGGTATGAGGACCCGACTGTGAGCTTTGCTCAGAGGCAGGGCTTTCAGTGTTGCTGTCCTTGGACTCACTGTCATGCCTGGAAGGCTGCTTCCCTTCTTCCACTTTGCCTTCGGGTAGGCCCTCTGTCTCCACTGGCTTCTTGTGTGGCATGGGACAGGTGCGCTTCTCTGAGATAGGCAACCCTGTATGAAGCCTCCGAGTATGAAAGCCAAGGTAATCCTCTTAGATTTCACCCCCAGGAAGGAGCAGAGAGAAAGCTAATAAGAGGGGATTATTATGGCAATTTCAGGGCAGGCTTTAAAGCTGTTCTGGCTATAGGTCCTTCCAGGGTTAGAAGGAAAGAGTTCTAGAGTTCCCATGTGGGATGGGCCCTAGGCAGGTAGGAGTGTGAGCCTGTTTGCTCAAGTATACTCCAATTGAGAAAAAAACATGTTTTCCTATTGTTGAGGAAAAACACAAAGCAGCACTAGTACAGGGTTGGGATCTATGCCTGGAAAATCTTTTTTTTTTTAAATTCCAGACAACCACTTTTCCTTGGAACTACCGGTAGCTACCAGAGGACCAGTAGTAACTGTGGGCAGGATAATCACTTCAATCTCTTTCTGCCTGCTCCCTGTAACTGCTCACCCTTCCCTGGTAATTGTGCATAAGATTAAAACCAGAATTCTCCTGAAAATAACCCACTTTCTTGGAGGGAACTCTAGATATTCTCATTAAAAGTTATACTGTCTACCATTGTTTTGAGTTTATCTATGATTCTCCATCACTGAAAAGACAGCATTGAATGTATCTTTAAAAGGGGGATGTACATTTTTTAGGTTGAGACTGCATTTATTAAACATAATTATTAAGGGCTGAATGTTGGCTTAGACAGGATCCTGAACTGATAGTGCTGGAGCCAAAATTTAATGGGAGAACCCATTCTCTCTTCTCCCAACCCCCAACAGCAAGCTACAGGAAGAAGCAAAACTTTAACATTTGACACAAGAAATCTAATCTTATATTTTAAACTTAGTGAACCTTGGCTTATCTTAAAAACCTAAGAAGGTCGGATCTGCGTAGCACTTGCACAAGACACCTCTAGGTAGTCCGAGGCTTATAGCCGAGACCCTATACTAAGGTTTTGTCAGTCTCTCTATTATCTATCCATCTATGCCATACAGGAATACAAAGGGGTACTGGAAAAAAATCACTTCTATATTGTTGCCAATAAAATTACACGATTGTGTGCATGATGTTACTAACCAAGACTCAAAACAGACTTTGCCTTTAATGTGACTTTTTACTTAGGGAAATAATGCAAAATGGCTTGATAATGCTTTTAGTACAAACCATGTTGCTTCCTCTTCTCCCCATGCCCATTGTGCATACAAGAATATCTGTTTTGGCTGCTACTGCTTTTCCTATCTCAAGCTTTGCAGCTCCCTAATCCATCCATCGTTCTCTGAAGCCCTCCTCTTCTAGAGTCTTCCTAATGACTCCAGCCTCCCACATCCCAGCCATGCAACACTGTTTTCCCATTGATTCTTCCATATCTCAAGTCACCCTGAGCTGCTTTTCATGGTTCTGGTTCCCCATTCTCCTTTCAGATTGGGAAAGAAGTTGTTGCTTCCACCTATTTTAGTAAACAAATAAATCTGCATTATGCTTTTTTTAATCAGCAGAGGGCACTACATCACTGAGCAGTACCATCTGTTCTTTAAGAAAAAAAACCCACAGGTTTGGTTTATTTTTGTCATTAGTAATGGTTATATAAATGTTTGTTTCAATTCCAAGCAGATGCATTGGAGGACATGGGAATGCATACATAGCATCTGTCTGCAACTCTTTAAAGCAGCTGTGTCTTTTCCTAGGTTCAGGACAGCTGGATACAACAGCCCCACAATGCTAAGGGGAAAACACAGTTGCAAATAGGTGCTATAATGCCTGCTTTTAAACACTTTTTCAGAACCTATTTCTAAAGACCCCCACAGTCCTTTTACCTATTTAAAAAAAATTTTTTTTTCAAAAGAGTAAAATATTATTGTAGAGCCAGTTTTGTGTAGTGATTAAGGCATCAGGCTACAAACTAGGAGACTGTGAATTCTTGTCTCACCTTAGGCACAAAAACCAGCAGGTAACCTTGGGCTCTCTCTCTCTCTCATTCTCTCTCAACCCTAGGAAGTAGGCAATGGTAAATCACTTCCAAAAAACCTTGCAAAGAAGACTGCCTGGATTAGTCCCTGCAGTTATCTGAAGTCAAAAACTGACTTGAAGGCACACATATACTTAATAAAGAAAAAAATTCAAAAATAATACAGTAATAAGTACAAATAATACAAACATTTTGGGACTGTAAAGTGCCCTTGCCCATTTTCAGGATAGTTTACAAGATATCACAGAAAGGTCCACACAGCCCATAGAAGTTACTAAGGCCTTACAATCCAGGACGGTTTAAAATTAGCCCAGGCTGGACTTCCTTGTTTTAAGGTAATCTTATCCAATAGGAGATTGTGAGTGGAAATATTTTTAGTTTCGCTGATTTATAGTGGTATCCAAATTTTCAATAACACACGCTCCAAAGCTCAGTTAAATTGATTGCTTTATCATTAGATCAACAAAGTCATCCCCAGTTGCACAACAGTAACTAAAAGGAAAAAGAAGTGATGCTACTTGAGGAAAAAGAATACATTTGAAACATTCATTGTGTATTCCATTTGCTTTTACATCCTACATTTTGCAGTTCCCTGATCAACTTATTTTTCCTGGTTAGCTGAAAATAGATTGCTTTGAATAGCTCATGAGCAGTTTGTACCGATTCATTTAACAACATTTTTCAAAGATAATATACATCGCATCATAATTGACTGTGACACATTTTAACCGATTAAGCTCAAAAAACCCAAGTATTTTTTTTAGCATGCACATGCATTGGACTGCATTTCATTTCACTTCGGTGAAAGTTACTTGTATATATTTTTAAGTACAGCAACATCTAGAGCAACAAATAAACTTCTTCATTAAGTTTTGGAAGCTCTTTTTATTTCTGTTTTCATTTTCTGTTTTACTTTTCTATTGAGGCATCCAGTTATATAATCGTGATTTGTAAAAATTCCTTTCTAGTCAGTCTGGCGTCAAAAGGATTTATAAAGCATACAAAGTTTACTCAGAAATAAACATAACTAAGTTCAGTGTGGCTATTCCTGGTACATAGCAACTTGAATGCACAGATGCATTTTTGCATGCTAAGGAGATTTTTAAATATTTTGTATTTTTATGATTAACCCAGATAACTTTCTTATTGTTTATCTTAACAAATAAAGCCTGGAGAATCTCTGTTCTCCTTAATTATTTTAAAGACTTGGAAGTTTTATCTCAGTTGTTTAAAGGAACTGTATGTTAACAAAACAACTTCAAGGGAAAGAGGATGGGTATTTATAATAGTACCGTGTCAATTAGTTTCCATCAAGATGTTTATGTAATTAGCAACAACTGTTTCATGAGTGCTGTTATAATATAGATATCACTGTTCCTACTTTATTTTTTAGCTTCCTGACCCGCTTACAATCTCTCTCTCTCCTACAGCCATTTATCCACTTACATAAGACTTGCAACACACAATCACCTTTCATGCCAAGTAGCATTATAGGCAAAGATAAACTGGTAGTCTTTAAAAGTCACAAAACTATGGTTGCAGCTGCAGCAGACTTTGACTGCTTTATGAACCCAGCCACTTGTTTATAAGCAATGGTTTACAACATGCATTATTGTATTAATTCAGTTACTTGTGACTTAGTCAATAAAGTATGGTTAAACAAACCATCAATTAGTTGCAAGTGTAGCAGATTACTACATGGTGTAGTGGAACTCAGTTGAGTTAAATGGTTTTGCCTCTGTGTTGTGCACTTTTGTTCTTCCCACCCATCCTCCTATCCCCCATCCCTTTCATGAAACTTAGTGATTGCTGAATGCTGGTCTGAGAGGGCTGTAGATAATTATCAGGTAAAAGGCAATAATGAATCTATGTTATGACTGGATAATGACATTCAACTAAAGTCAAACGCACATTGCTGAGTGCTGAAGATCAGGATACATTTAAAGCAAGAAACACATATTTATATTCACAATCCTTTAGATGGTGGGGGGACCCGTAGCATTTCAGATATGCCCTAATAGCATTCTTGGCAGCCCCAGTCCACAAAACTAATGTCAGAGGCATCAAGAGTGTGCTAACAATTGTTATCCCTTTCCTGCTTTCCAGATTTCTTTGGTTGAGAATATCTCTTAACCACACGGCAAGTTTTATTTGTTATACAAATACTATATCCAGATTCCGACATTCATTGTATTTAAAAAAAGTTCATTTCACCCTTTTTAAAAGGCACACTTCTGATCAATTTGTACAATAGAACACAATGCTGATTTTCTAATTTAAGAGATTATGGATTAAAGACTTAAGTGATTACAGCTTGTATATACATGTGGATTGGCCTATGCAAGGGTACAGTTTAAGAGAACAGTCAAAATATTTAAGATGGAAGCCACATAAAGAGTTTTTACTTTAAGGATCTTATAGGCAGTCATATGTTCCTTTAATGTTATGCTACAATTTATTGTGAGCTGCCTAAAATCCAGCAAGGAAGCAGCATATAAAGAAGTGCAACTAATACGTATGTGTGCTATGCTTAGCAAGCAACCTACCAAACACATTCTTTTGTGTTCCTGAATGATATAAACACAACAGAGCCTCTTGCCTCTATTTGCCCACTTCTAATGGTAAAATCTCATGTTCAAATTTTTTTTTTCTGATAGTAGATAAATTTGTAGCAACATGTTCTGTGAACTTTTCTTAATCAACAAAATTATTTACAAGAATATTGCACAGATAAATCAAGTATGCTATATTTGAAAATATCCTTGGGATTACAGTGTTGATGCATGAATTCAGAGGGAACTATCAACCAATGCATGTCTCGTGGTTGTTGTTTTCATCAACAGGGAAGAAAAGAACAAGGGCAGACAGTAATTCATGCACTCTCACCTTCATATCTTCTGTTGTTCCTACTTGAGGAAGACATGATAGCTGCACTTACCGTGTTTCCCCGAAAGTTAAACCCAGCCCAATAGTAAGCCCTACCTTGATTTTTGGGGGTGGGCCTAATATAAGTCCTACTCCTACTCCAAAATAAGTTTTGGGGCGAGGTGCACCCCTAAAAATCAAGCTGCCCCACACCCGCCTACCTTATCGGTAGGACCACCACAGCCAGGCCTCCCACACCCTGACACCTGTTGCGCTACTTGACTTCTGCAGCCGCATGCCACCACTTGTGGCCCAGATTCCATGTGGCACATTGTGCCGTTGCTGCTCCTTCTGCTTTGGGCCGCTTCCACTGCTGGTGCAGTGCTTCGGGCTGCTTCTGTTGCTTGCGGCAGGAAGTCACATGGCGCTTTGGGCCTTCTCCACTGCAGAAATGGCCCAAAGAGCCATGTGTCCTGCTGCGAGTAGCAGAAATGGTGCAAAGCACCATGCGGCGTCCTGCCAGGAGGAGCGGCAACGGCGCAATGTGCCATATGGCCGCAAGTGGCAGCAAGCAGCCACAGAAGTTAAACAGCGGTGCAACAGGTGTCGGGGTGTGAGAGGCCTGGCTGTAGTGGTCCTAAATTTGGGTCATTCTCCAAAATTAAGACCTAGTGCCTCTTTTGGAGGCAAAAAAAATATAAGACCAGGTCTTAATTTGTGGAAAACACGGTAGGTATTTAAAGAGAAATTACAAGGAAGCTGGCCAAGGATTTTATTTCCATGGCCTTAGAAACGGAAATATTGGGTATACAGGTAGCCCTCAACTTAGGACCACAGTTGAGCCCAAAATTTATGTTGCTAAGTGAGACATTTGTTAAGTGAATCATTAAAGTTGTTAAGTTGGTAACACAGTTGTTAAGTGAATCTGGCTTCCCCATTGACTTCGCTTGTCCAAAGGTTGCAAAAGGTGATCACATGACCCTGGGACCCTGCATCTGTCATCGTCAGTTGCCAAGCACCTGAATTTTAATCACGTGACCATGGGGATACTGCAACGGTCATAAGTGTGAAAAAAGGTCATAAGTCACTTTTTTCAGTGCCGCTGTAACTTCGAATTGTCACTAAATAAACTGTTGTAAGTCGAGGACTATCTGTACATTGAAACTACCTAGATGTTGTTTAAATATAAGAACAATTTACTTGTTGCCAACATCACTGGGTACAGCAGATTAGAAAATCAACTCCCCTGCCACAGAGGGCTAAAACTACTTGAGATTGGCTATATTTAGAGAATCTTGTAAGTCTGAATCAGGGAAGCATCTCAGCTGCTTCTGAGTGTAATCTTGTTGCTTTGGACTTTTAAAATACTTCAGCCTTTTTGCCTAGGTAATTATTGCATATCTTGGACAAAGTCATTTCTCCTACTCTCTATGGCTGTGAAGGTTCTGGATTCCTTATCCCTGGAAATTAAGAGACTGGACACAACCAGCTCTCTTGGGGAGTTTAATTCATTTTCTTCTAGCCCAGTGTTTCTCAACCTTGACAATTTTAAGGCACGTGGACTTCAACTCCCAGAATTCCACAGCCAGCAACGCTGGCTGTGGAATTCTGGGAGTTGAAGTCCAAATGCCTTAAAATTGTCAAGGTTGAGAAACACTGTAATCTAGCCCTTTCCAACTCCTACAGTTCTTATTATTCACACTCTCCACCCCTCCCTGCTTGATCATTGATTCATTTACACCAGCGTTTTTCAAAGTCGGCAGCAGCTTTAAGTCGTGTCGACTTCAACTCCCAGAATTCCCCAGCCAGCAGGGGAATTCCGGGAGTTGAACTCCACCCATCTTAAAAGTTGCCAAGTTTGAAAGAGGCCGATTGGCGCCATAAGAGCAGCTGTTTAAAGAGCCATAACATATTCCAGCCCAACGGAAGCAATCGTCTGATCGCTTGGAAGAGCTGAAAAAGGCAGACCCCGGGCTGCGGCTCGTAGACCCCAAACGAGGGAAGCGCACCTTCCAGGATGGTGTTTAAGGCTTACGGAGGCGCGCCCGCCTCCCAGTGAAAGGGAGAAAAACGCGCATCACAAGCGATAGCGGAGAAAGGTATCGGGAAGTCGGAATACCGCGCCGTTCCCTTAACAAACTAATTGCTGCTAGGCAAACGGGAAGGCAAAGGCTCCCGCCTCGTCCCCAGACGCGCTTTTCTTCCTCGAAATGAGTTCCCACGACCGCTGGGATCCCGCCTCTGAATCCCGGCTGCCAGCCTGAACCTCCTCCGGGGTTGGCCTGGCGTACCGCCGCAGTCTTCTCCGAATTGGAGGCCCACGACAGCGGCCGACCCTTGCCCGAGCGAGCTGCTGCGGGAGCTCCAGCCAAGCAGCGGTCGCTCGCCTTGCTTACTCCCGTCGGGCTCGGCGTACCCGGTCGCCACAGCCCTTTCCTGTACCGGAGGAATTTCTCCTTCGAGCTTTAGGCCGCTCCACCCGCAAAAGCAGGTAAAAACGGTGCTTGGGAAGCGAGCTTCCTCCGCCTCCTCGGTCATTTCCTGTAGGCACCGAGAGGCCGGCCCACTCCGGGCCTTTCGTCCCTCCCTTCGCATGCACCGCCCTGGGCTGTGCGCAAGGGAGAGGCTGCTCCGTTCCGTTCCTCCAAGCCGGTGAGTGGAGGTAGGCGACCGCGTCCTGAGCGCGCTGATGGAGATATGGGGTGGCGGGGTGGGTGGACGGGACCCCGAGCTTCTTCCCGGGCTTCTTCCCGGGCCCCAAGGCCGGAAGGCAGGCTGCTAAAATCACTGCTTTCGCTCCCCGCCTCCGGACTGGGCAGCAATCCTGCCGTAGCTTCTCCCTTGCCTTTTCTTTTCCGGTGCTCGGAAATCGAAGGTGGCGGCCATCCTGGGGATGCAACAGCTTCAGATTGAACTTCGCTTTAAAGAAAAAAAATTGAGGGGCGGTGGCTGCCGTTCTTCTACGCGGCTTCCCCTCAGCTGGCCGTGCCAGTTGCCAGGAAATGGGAAAGCTTTTGGCATACGGCTGGAGACCGACCCCCTTTTGCGCTTTCGCTGTTTACGAGGCTGGTCTCTGACACGCTGAGGGTGGAAACCTCCCTCCAGGTTGCGCTCTTTCTACCTCCCCCCCCCCAAAAAAAAAATATTGGGGTTGCAAGAAAGAAGTTTTGCTTTGCTTAGATTTCCCCCCCTTTCCTTTAGTCCAACTGGAGGCTCCTTGCATTTTTTTTTTCCTTGCACATCCGGTTGCTCCAGTGGAGTAATTGAACTGGGATGATTTATTCATTTCTTCCTGGGACTCTGATTTGCAGAAAAACAGTTCCTTCCTTTTTTATCTCTCTCTCTCTCTCTCTCTGTCCCCCTCCTTCTCCCCTTCCCTTTACATTTCTTAATCGTTTTTTTCCCCCCCTCTCAGGAAGGTTCTAGATGTACACTTCTGGCCAGCTAATATAGGTTTGGTTTTGTGTATGTGTATGCCTGCTCCTGGTGAATGCCTGGGCAAGTCTCTACAGTTTTCTTATCGGCATTTTCAGGTGTGGCTTGTCTTGCTTCCTTCTTGGAGCTGAAACAGTATAGTAACTGGTCCCAAATCATTTGGATGGCTTTGGGTCCATGGCAAGACTAGAATTCAACCTTTCCCAGTTTCTAGCCTGGTGCCTTTAGCCACTACACAAAAGTGCCTGTCATACTGTATTAGATTGGGTCAATTTTATAGCCCTGTTTCCCCTCCAAATTCTCCAGGATGTGCAGGAGCATTTATATCAGTGTTTCTCAACCTTGACAATTTTAAGGCATGTGGACTTCAACTCCCAGAATTCCACAGCCAGCATGAAGTCCACATGCCTTAAAATTGTCAAGGTTGAGAAACACTGATTTATATGATTGCCCACTCTTAAGTCCACCTGATCTGTTAGGAATTTCTAAAAGATGTTTGCTTCTGTAGGTTCTGCTTCCTTATGGAAACGGGGGGGGGGGGGGATCCCTCTTGATGAACAGAATGGAAAGCATTGAGCAATCCTAGCTCACTTCCCCAGAAGTCATTCAGTGCATTGGACTCTGAATAACTGAATGGATTGTATTGCTGTTGTTGTTGGGACTTCATTTGTTCCCCTCTAGCCTGAAAGAGTTCTGTTTGGAGTTTTGGGTTGGTTTCTGACTCTGATCCAATTGGATCTGGTGTTGGGGCAACCTCCCAGTTTGCTTTCCGTGTTTTATAGATTTAAAGATTAAGGTTTTTTTGTGCTGTAGGTAATTCCCTTTCTGTCTTTTGTCTCTAGTTAGAGGGCACCAAATGGGCTTTCCGGTGAGCTTTCTCTGAGTTAGGCCTTGCTCTGCCCTCATGCCATCTGATTATTCTAGTTCTGTTTTACAGGTAGTCCTTGACTTACAACCATTTGTTTTAGTGACCGTTTGAAATCACAACAGTGCTGAAAAAAGCGACTTAGAACTGGTCCTTGCTATTACAACCATTGCAACATGCCCACAGTCACCTAATCAAAATTTGGGAGCTTGGCAACTGGCATGTATTTACAACCTTTGCAACGTCCCAGGTTCATGTGATTACCATTTGCAATCTTCCCAGCTGCCTTCTGACAAGCAAAATTAATGGAGGAAGCCAGATTTGCCTATTGATGGCATGATTCACTTAACTGCAGCGATTCACTTAACATTTGTGGCAAAAAAAAAAAAGTCATAAAATTGAGCATGGCTCACTTAAGAATTGCCTTGTTTAGCAACAAAAGTTCTGATCCGAATTGTGGTAATAAGTCAAGAACTAACTGTATTTAGTTTCTAATGTTTTATCATGCCTCTCTTTTAAAGGTGGGGACAACGTGGAACTGCTTTTTACTTTTTCTCAAAGGAATAGGATAATTAGGTCTGTCTTCCAATTTATATGGGGTAATGTTTTAGGAGATGCAACTAGGAATAAAACTGGTGGCTAGTTTCTTCTTTCTTGTGCAGTTCCCATCTTCTTTAGGAGCACAATTGGTCTGGCCCCAGTCCCCCTAAAGAGTCAGATACTGTCTGATGAAGCAACTGGTTTTATTGGCAGAGATGCTTTTGAAATTGCAAGACATCAAACTGGGCAGCAGTCCTAAGTGAATCCCTGCACTATACTTGTGTGTGCACCCTTTCTCTGACTTTTGCTCTGTCTCTTTCCAGTCATGTCCTTTCGTAAGGTTGTGCGTCAGAGCAAATTCCGCCACGTCTTTGGACAGCCTGTCAAGAATGACCAGTGCTATGACGACATCCGGGTTTCACGAGTCACCTGGGACAGCACCTTTTGTGCTGTCAACCTCAAGTTTGTGGCAGTAATTGTCGAGGCCAGTGGAGGGGGGGCCTTTATGGTGCTCCCGCTGCAAAAGGTGAAGGATGGGCTCAAGGTGGAAAAAGGAAAGGGGGAGGAGGAGAAGCAGAAAACTAATAAAAATGACCACTCACTGTCTCTGTGTTTGTCACATCTTTATATTAATCTTTCTATTAATGGATCCACCTTTTATAGACAATTGGGGGTGGAAGAGAAGGATTTTGAGAAAGAAAATGGGACTCCAGCTTGCAACAAGATTGTGAGAGACTTAAACTGTATGTCAACTCTTATCTCGTTTATTCCCCCCCCCCCCCAGACAGGGCGCATTGATAAGTCTTACCCTACCGTGTGTGGGCACACTGGACCAGTTTTGGACATTGATTGGTGTCCACATAATGATCATATCATTGCCAGTGGTTCTGAGGATTGCACTGTTATGGTGAGACGGAAATGGGGAAAGTGTGTATGTAAGTGTGTATAGGGGGTAAAGTGGTCTCTTCAGTAGCCATGCCTCCACATGCATCTTAAAGCTGAGGCAACTGCAGTCAGTCTTGCATGTGAGAAGTGTTCCTCACAGCTGGGAAGGTGTGGGCAATGTGAAGGATAGAATAACAAGATTTCTAGCAGTGGGGAGGAAGGCAGAATCCAGTGTTCCATACACTTCTTATTTCTGCAAAGGCAGAATAAATTATGCAAAAATAAGGCATATGTGAATATTTCACTTAGATAAAACAGGACTGGCAGTCTTTTGCTGGCATGAGCTACAGTTCTTCATTTGATGGAGGTTGAAAGCTGCAGCGTGGGTGGAACCATATTATACCCAGAGCAGGGTTTAATTTAGGGGAGGTTTTTTTCCTTTGCTTTTAAAATGTGAAGTGCTGTTCTTAGGCTTTGTGTAGTAGTAGTAGGTGGATAATACTATGCAGGGTAGGAGGAGGAGGAGGAGAGGGTTTTCCAAAATAAATTTCCACTGATGTTGGATGCTGTTAGGAAGAAGGGAGGGTTGTGCTTGAGGTGCAGTATTGATGGGAGAGAATGAAACACATGTGAGCTTCATTGTGATTCTGTGCCCTTGTATTGCACTGTTTGTTCTCTTCAGGTATGGCAGATCCCAGAGGGTGGCCTCACAGTGCCTCTGACCGAACCAGTGGTGGTTCTGGAAGGACACTCGAAACGTGTGGGCATCATCACGTGGCATCCGACCGCTCGCAACATCCTTCTGAGTGCAGGTACCACCAGCAAAGGAGGCAGCAAAGTTGAGAAGTTTCTGCTGCAAGCAGGATGGTGTTGAAAAATGTGGGCTTATATCAATTTTTTTTGAAACCTGGGATAAATTTTACCGCTGGAGGAATTTGAAAAGGACGGCTGGGATTAAAGACGAATGTTAAGATAGAAATGTATGTTACTTTAGAATAGATAATGTATATAAAATTTAATGTATATGTAGAAATAATGAATTGATTGTAAAATATGGTATAATCTGATAAGAATGTATATACTGGAATGTCATGTCAAATCCAATGTTTTTTTTAATTGTTTTATAAATAAAAAGTTTAAAAAAGAAAAAGAAAAATGTGGGCTTATGAGCTGTCTGAAAAAAAAACCATAGCAAACCATTTAGTTGTTCCTTTCTATTCCAGGCTGTGATAATGTGGTTATTGTGTGGAATGTGGGCACTGCAGAAGAGCTTTACTACCTTGACAATCTGCATCCTGACATCATTTATAATGTCAGCTGGAACCGGGATGGCAGTCTGTTCTGTTCAGCTTGTAAGGACAAAAGTGTGCGCATCATTGATCCACGCCGTGGGCAAGTTGTAGCTGTAAGTCTGACACTCTTTGAGTTCTTGGTTACATTCATGAAGCAGTGTGTGATTGTAAGAGTCGAAATTAATTTTGTGGCATTGTGACAAGCCATTCTGATCTTGGCAATTCAAAAACATTGTATTTTGTATTTTAGGGTATTGCAGTAGATTCCCCATTTTCTTATCTGCACAGCTTTTTCTTTGCTTTATTGCTTCAGGTTCCATTTTTTTTTTTAGCTTAAATCATATCTTAAACTTGTACTGTCTTTGGTTTGCAGTAAGGTGACTGCAGATCTACAGAATTACAAAACAATTTGCAATGTTTATTTGTATAAAAATGACACGTTGGTGGGGTATTCAGAATAGTATACTATTATGTTCATTTGGATGCATGACAGGATTCACCTTGTTTTTAGTTTTCCAAAGTGGTCTGTGCTTGCAGAACTATAATCCTACTACAGGAACTGAAAAAAATGTAATGTGGAATGTGCTTGAGGCAGAGGTGCTATCTTAAGGCAAATGGAAATTTTGCAACTGGTACAGTCCGATTTTGTAACTTTGTTTTCAGCAGAATAAATGATGCCTGAGTCTGTCAGCAAGAAATCTGGACAGTGTCACCAGTCCTGTGCTGAATACATGTTACAACAGTAGTAGCAAAATACATAGGTGGCAGAAAGATACGAGGACTATACACTGAAGTAAGCAGTAGAACAGAAATGGAGACCTGCTCTAGGGACTAGGATAAAGGCCAAGGGCTGGATGACTCCAGTGCTTCTCACACCAGTTAGACGAGGGGATAGGAGATGCACATATCCTCCAGTTCAGGAAAGCAGCTTTTTCTTCATGCCAGGGGGTCTTTAAAGGGACTCTTCCCTAGGAACTGATGCCCCCCCCCAGCAAGGAGTGCCTTTAAAAGAACCATTTTTAGCCAGTCTTGCCTACCTGTCTTTTGGAAAAGTTTGATCTGGGGTGGGGGTGGGCATCAGTTGCTTTTGCTAAGTTCCTGTTGAAGTATCTTGTTGCTAGTGATGAGAGTTGTCAAACTTTGGGGGGGAGGGCTTTTCTTTAGTTCTCGCCTCCCCCCCCCCCATGAGTCAATGAAGCAAATAGGTCAAAGGTCCCCCTCTCACTGTAATGAACTCAGGCTATCTTCTGATGAGCATTTAGTAATGTTGGGGAAGGCAGTTGTTTTAAATGAGATGGGGATGATAGTGTTGGGAAGCTATCACCGATGATGGCATAAATATTGTCTTTCCAGTTCAGGATCTGTGTAGAGGGGAATTATAATATCTTAGCCCCAGAAAGTTGTTGAAGAAGAATGCATTATATTATTACTGCAATGCTGGGATACAAAGTAACTAAGTCTTGAATCTAGGTTCCCTTTATTTTTTAACTTTTGCGTCAGCGCTATCTAAATGCTTTTAGCTCCTAAAGAGACACATGTTTTTGGTTGGTTTTTTTTTCAGAAAGTTGCAATCTAGCAGCTGAAGTTTGCAAAAGAGTATAGTAGAAAAAAATCATATAAAGTATTTTGTTTTTTAGATCTATGGACAGTTCATCAAAACTAGAAAAGGCAAAGAATTAGAAAATGTTGTTTTGATTGCCACCCAGTGATTGCTTTTTTCCTTTTTTCTGTATACCTGCAGATTTAATTATGCTTTCTATATTTCTGCTAACCCTTAAAATTGAAAATGCAATAAAACCCTATTGTACAAAATACAAAGGTATTTTCTCAGTGCAGTTGGAGCATCAGAAGTGCTTTCCCTCCTCAGGCTATGCTTCTTAAATATAATTACACATTTATGGTAGAAATCGCATTTTCCATTACTATATAAAAATTACTTCCAGAGCAGATAATTTAATGAACAGGATTTCACATTTTTATTAACAACTAATATGGATCTGAGCTACCTGATCTCTATTTCTGCATTAACAGTCCCTGCTGTTCATATGGGTTTTTTTTTCAATTTTAGAATTTGTGGTTATGCGTATACATCTGTAAAACAGCAGATTAAACTGTTCTTCAGTCCAAAATCACGTTCATAAAATCAGCACAATTTAAGATAACAAAGACAGTAACAATAACAAAATCCTAAATTTCACTTTTGTATCAGTTTTCCCTGTGCTTCTTGTTGGAAATTATGTATACTCTTTTCTGTGGAAGAATGGCAAATTAAGTTGTGAGAGTATACATCAATGTCAAAAATAACCTTTTATTTGAAAAGCAAATTTAATATAGAATTCAACATGGAAAAGATTTTTAGATTATAATACCACATATGGTCTTGTAACACATCTAAAATTTGAATTTCTTCTAACAAGGTGTCAACATCTAAGGATAGTATTTTTTAGATTAGGCAGAAATTATTGTAATATCTCATCCTGATATATAATTGTCATTAATAATTGTATGTTATTTAGATTGTCCTAAACTGATATATTTTAACATTTCGAACTAAATGTTACCATGAAATTGTCATTTAATTTTATAATTCTTGTAAATCTCTTATTTTCTCTTTTGTTTGTCTTTTTGTTTTTCTTCTGGATTATGTTTTTAAATATTTAGAGAGTGAGAAAGAGATTTTAAATATTGATGGAGCCAAATTATATTTCTTAGGTAACAGCAAGGGGGTTTAATAAATGCTGGCCTGATTAATTTTGAAGCGAGAAGAGTGGCAGAAGAAGCTTCTTTTTCCTGCAGAGTGCCAAGGTTTTAACATTTTGGGTTCTTTGCTCAGAAGCAAATTAAAAATGAAGCCTTTGCTGTTTTTAACCTCTCATCACAAAGACTTTATTGGCCTCCCAGCTTAATCTAGCCTGTTCCTAGGCAACATTCTGAGGAAACACTTTTGAGTTTGGTTATAGTTTGAGTTTCCTTAGAATGGGGACAGAATGAAAAGGTAAGGCAGGGCTGAAGAAATTGTGCTTAAATGCCTGCAACAATGTTAAGTCTTCTTCAGGTTGAATTTAATCTTGATGACTGATAGGAGAGCTTAGTCTGGATTCAGTTTAAGAGATATCTGAGCAGAGCTGGCAGGGAGAATGTCTATTGTCTATTGTGGAACCTGCCTGCTTTATCTTAACCTGACCCTTTCCCTCTTACTTACTAGGAAAGGGAGAAAGCGCATGAGGGAGCACGCCCAATGCGAGCCATTTTCCTGGCCGATGGGAAGATCTTTACAACAGGCTTCAGCCGTATGAGCGAAAGGCAGCTGGCTCTCTGGGACCCAGTGAGTGGGAAGGCGGACGGAGCGGGGCGCAACTGGGTGGGGAGGAAGACTCCAATAGAAGAGAAACCCCTATCAGTACCAAGAGCCTGAGCAACAGACTCCTCTTCTCTTCCCATTCTGAAGGTTGCTTTCTTCTCAAATGGGTATTGCTTTAAGTTTGGTTCCACAAGAGAACCCCTCAGGATTATATCTTGAAGCAAGTGAACAGAATCCTGCCCCGCCTTCTACAATGGCATCACTGCCTCACACCATCCCCACAATGTGAAGGTAGTATCTGAGAAAGGATGAAGATTCTACTACAATTCAAAACCCTGGATGAGAAGATTCTCCCTCTCAAGCAATTCTCTGATATAGAGTAACCTTCCCAAACCAGTCTGGAAGTACCCTCTCTCTTTATTCCCAACCAGCGAGGCAGTAGGCAACAATTAAGTCAAACCTTACACAAAAGGGGCTGACATGGAAGTAACCATCTGAAAGAGATTATAATATATCTTTGCGCTTTCTTGTTTCTGTCAATTTCAGGAAAACCTTGAAGAACCTATGGCATTGCAGGAACTAGACTCAAGCAATGGGACCCTTCTGCCCTTCTACGATCCTGACACCAACGTTATCTACGTCTGTGGCAAAGTAGGCTTTCTTACCTTGTTTATATGTGCAGGTGTATTCGTGATGGTGCCTGATTGAGGCAGAATATGCCTTCCAGTATATTTTATATGTTATCTTTACAGATAGGACAATTCCTAAACTAAACTGGTATTGATTTTTCTACCATAGTACATGGGAATCTGCTGAGGATCTAATAGTTTTCTTTTCTATCGAAGTTTGTCTTGTAATTCAGCATTAATATTGCGAAGAAAACAAGACTCTCCCGTTGTTGCTAAATAAAATTAGGCCTGTGTTTTTGTGCTTGTTTTTCTCTGATACCTGAGAATTCTGGGTGTAACTCTTGTCAGTTGAATTACATCAGCAAATGACTACATTGTCTAGGAATGAGAGGAAGTGACCTTTGTATCTGGAGGGCAATCCTTATGCTGAATCCTTATGATGTCAGTGAGTAGATGATCTATTGATCAAAATTCACAGGAAGGATTTTCATGTTGTGTTAGGCACAGTGCACCCATGTAACGGCAGACTATTAAACATAGTGTAATAGGCTGACTCACATATATGGGACTTCGTCTCAGATGTGTTATGGGTCAGGCTAACTTTCTCAATTATGATTCTAATTCTGGTTTTCTAATGTATTTTTCTGCCATCCAAACAGTGGCAATTCTGTCATGGTGTATCTTGCTATCTTTTCTTGCTTTCCAGGGAGATTCTAGCATCCGGTATTTTGAGATTACAGCAGAAGCACCATACATTCACTTCCTGAACACATTTACTAGCAAAGAACCACAACGTGGCATGGGTTGGATGCCCAAGCGGGGTCTGGATGTCAACAAGTGTGAGATTGCCAGGTAATCAGATTAAATAGTTAGTAGGAAGGTATAGAGATGAATGGCAAGAAAGCAAATAGGCAGCCAAAGTATAGCATGAATTATTCTCATGGTTTTTAAAGATCCAGTCTGATTAACTCAATTGTTCCTTTCTGTTTCTATAGATTTTACAAACTCCATGAGCGCAAGTGTGAACCCATTATTATGACAGTGCCAAGGAAGGTGGGTATTTCATAAGAAGACATTAAAATCCAGTACTAGAATTAAAATCCAGTACCAGAACCCTAATCTGGAAGAAAGAAGATCCTGCCACTGCGGCGCTCTATTAGCATCTTGCTAGGAAGTGTGCTAATACTGTATCCCCACCTATGTTGCTAAAAGACAAAACAGGCTACAAATTCCTAGATTCAGGCAGCAGTGCTTTTCTTAACGCAAGTTAGAAAATGTCAGGAATCATTTGGCTGCTACTTTTTTTCCTTGGATCTTGACTTCTGTTGCTCTGCATTAATTTGTAAATTTATTGATTTAATAATACTAGCCAATAACCTAGTACAGTGGCGGCGAACCTATGGCACCGGTGCCAGAGGCGGTACTCAGAGCCCTCTCTGTGGGCACGCGCACCGGTGCCCCAGTCCTAGGCCTTCAGCCGAGTTTTATAAAACCTTTTCGCTTTAGGCCTCCACCACCATGTGCAAAAAAAAAAAAAAGGTTCAATCTACCAGTCAATTTCAACTTCTCGCGGGAAAAAAAGATCTTGCAAAGTTGGAATTGATTGATTGAACTTTTTAGTCCCACCCAGGTACCACCGCAGCCACGCCCACCCAATGGGCCACACCCAGCCAATGGGCCACACCCACCCGGCACCCGACGATGCATAAATGGGTTTTGGGTTGCAGTTTGGGCACTCGGTCTCTAAAAGGTTCGCCATCACTGATCAGCCAGTTCCAATCTTATTTCAACCATGAGTCTCTTAGACATCTTGCAAATTAATTTAAGGTTACAATTGTGCTAAGATTTAGATTAGGATCTTTGAATTGACAATTTAGAACAAGGGTGTCAAACTGCTGGCCCATGGGCCGGTTGCATCATGTGTAGGCCGTGCCCACCCCAGCTCCGGCAATGCAAAAAAAGTCACGATACGTCGCAACACCTCATGTGACATGGCAAGTTTGACACCCATGATTTAGAATATCTATATAGTAGCCTACTACTCCTTGACAGGATTAGTCTCAATTGCTGTATTGTATTGCTATTTGATACTCTATTTCAGTGTTTCTCAACCTTGACAATTTTAAGGCATGTGGACTTCAACTCCCAGAATTCCACAGCCAGCAATGCTGGCTGTGGAATTCTGGGAGTTGAAGTCCACATGCCTTAAAATTCTCAAGGTTGAGAAACACTGCTTTAAAACAGACATGTCAAACTCGCGACGTCATGTGACATTGTGCAACTTATCGGGACAGTTTTGTCATTGCCAGCAAGGGGGTGGCATGTCTTCCAGATGACATGTCCGGCCCGTGGGCCGGGAATTTGACACCCCTGGTTTAAAACATTCCTGGCAGTTGAGAGATGGGTTTTTTTTTCAACACACACACCTGTTTTCATTCATATTTTTAATCTCTCTGGAGTAATATGATTCTGAGAAACATATCTATCTAAGCTTTCCTGGCCTTCTTTGACCTCAGTGTGACAATTTCTTTTCCTTTCAGCCACACACCTCCTTCACCATGAAATGCAACATTCTGCTCTGAACACGATTTCCAAATGTTCCAGTAGAATTGATCTTTATTCAGAAATGCAAAGAAAAATGTTAAAAACAGAATTAGAATGGTTCAGTTCAAAACTTAATTTTCCTTGACTACCTAGGATCCCTTTGGTGAAAGGATTGATTCTAGAGACCTTTCCCTCTACTATTGTGTAGATTGTGCAACTGTACAACATGTTTGGGTTAAGGGAAGTGGTTTCCATTTAGAAACAGATCCATGAACACTGAGGAATTAAGATGCTCCTTTCTCAATTCTGTGCTCTCGGATGATCATTTTGTGATTTCTCAGGCAGAATGGACATTCTTAGTATTACCACATGAAACAGTGTTCACATTTTGGGCTCCATATAAGTGTAAAACATTTAGTCTCTTTCTCCATGTTCAGCTAAATATACTCATCTTAGGACTCTGTTCTGGTGCTCTCTGCCAATGCCATGAAAGCTGATGCTTTCCTCTCTTTGCAGTCAGATCTGTTCCAAGATGACTTGTACCCAGACACAGCTGGGCCAGAAGCTGCCATGGAGGCAGAGGAATGGGTGGCAGGGAAGACAGCACCCCCCATCCTAATCTCACTGCGTGAAGCCTATGTACCCACCAAACAGCGGGATTTCAAGGTCAACCGAAGAAGCTTGTTGCCTGAGGGTCGCCCGGCGGCTCCCTCCAACACTGGGCTGAGTGCCACACCCTCCAGTGCCATGACTCCATCCGCTGCCACATCTGCCCTTGGTGTTACTGCTGCTAGCGGGGTGGGTACTGTGCTGTTGCTTGGGGCATATGGGGATTCGTAAGGTAGTACTGAGTGTCTGCTTCATCTTCGGACTTTCTGCCCTCCCTACATGCAGAAAAGTAAGCTTCTGGCTCTTCATAGTTTTGACAAGTATCGGCACTTTGAGAAAGGCTGGGTATGGTTCTTGTGTTAGCTGGCTCAGGAATTCTGGGAGTTGAAGTCCACAAGTCATAAAAGAGCCAAGGTTGACTACCCCTGGGTTAGAATATGATACTGCACAGATCTCCTTGCTGCTCAAACAATGGCACTTACATTTTTTGCAACCAACCTTGTAAACCAGGCTCTTGGAAACATAATGCATCCAAGTATATAGAGCATGCTGGTTGGGGGATTCTGGGAGTTAAAATCCATACATCTTAAAAATCACCAAAATTGAGAAACACTGCTGTAGAAGATTTCTTTATTTGAAACTGTAACAATGATCATCTTCCTTATTGTGACTCCCATATGATCAGGGTAGGGTTGTGCATATGTGTGGATTCAGGCTTAGAAATGTGGGTCAGATTTGCTTTCCTCACCTTTTCCTGCACCAGATTATGTACTCTATGTGCTGTCTATTCCAGTTAGTGTAAGTTAGTGGTTGGTTTGAGTTGGGCCATTGGAATTCTGGGGATCTTACGGGCAAAAAGATGATGAAATAATGAATGATCAACTTTTTTCCCATTTGCAGGAAGGGAGGCAGCTTACTGAAGAGGTGTTGCGTGAAGTGGCATCCCTGCGGGCGCTTGTGGCTGCACAGGGGGAGCGCATTGCACGGCTAGAGTTGCAGTTGAGCCGCATTGAGAATGGTGATTTCTAATGGGCCTTGCGTGGGCCCCCCCAAGAGAACCTGACCAACGTGGAGGATCTCACTTACTTCCCCTTCCTTTGACCTGCCAGTAATCCCTTCACATTGCCTCCTGCCCTGTGGGGTGAGACAGGGGCTTGCCCTCTCTTGCTGCTACTGGGAATGTTTCTTGGGTTTTGTCTCGGACCAAATCTCCTCTTCCTCTCATTTCTGCACCCCATATTATCCAAGGGGCCATATGCTAGTGCCCTAACCATTGCTCCTTTGCCTTATTCTGGTCAGGGGCCTATTTCCTGTCCCATTCCCATGAATGGGGCTGGCTTAGATATCACCCAGGGAGATTGGGGCTGTCTGACAGCTTGGCCTGGCCTGCCTGTACCCTCCACTTGAGAATAAGGCTGAGGTTTCCTTATGAGTCTCTCGTGGCAAGTGTGTTTGTGCGCGTGGGGTGGGGTGGGGTTGGGGGTGTTATTGGAAGCCTGGGCCACCTATGAGTCAGTGGGAGGAGGGATGCTTTTTCTCAGATAGGACCATTGAAATCCCATGGAGGAGTTTTCTGCTTCCTTGTCTGAACTTTTTGCAATGAGAACATGGAGAGATGTCCAGTAGGGCCAGGCGGTGAAAGGAGCCTGCCTTCTGGTCACAGTCCTCAGGCTACTGTCTCTGGTACCACTCCTCTTTCTGGCTTCCAAAACACACTGACAATGGAACAGGGGAAATTAACTGTTTCAGGGTTGATATCTATATTTTCATTCCAAATAAAAATCTTTATAGAACTAGAGCTCTGTGCAGCTTATTATTGTGGGCGTCTCTGACTTGGAGTGAGTTCAAGGTAAGTGGAAACTCTTTTCCAGAATGTCAGCTGGCCTTCTTCGGACTACTGATGGAAATTTCCTCCACCCACCAATAACCTAGGAAAACAATTGTATCATGCAATAATCCCTGCTTTAAGCTTGGCTAGAAATTCCTAAAGACACCCGAGTGCCTTCCCCTTCTCCCATACGGAGATGGACTTGCTTCCTTTAATCATAGAATATTCTGCTTAGAACCATTATCGGTCATGTATGTGCCCCGTGTTTTGAGAGAGTGGGGAATTCAAACGGGAGAATGTAATAAATTATTGCCTTTTGACCTAATTTTTTAACATTTGCTTTGTACATACCAGAATTATTTAGACATCTTTGTACCAAAGGTGGCTTTTGAAACTGCATTTTCTGAACACCCATAAACATTTAAATCTTTTCCATTAACTGCATTTTTGGGGGTGGGGAGTAATAATGCAAGCTCATATTCTTGTTTATTTAAACAGGTTTAATAAGTGTGTAGCTCCTTTTCAATGAAATTTAAGAGCACTTCATGTGGGTGTATTCCTGGCAAAAGGACAAAAACCTCTCTTTAACCTGTTTCAATATACTGAGTTCTGCTCCACCATCATCCACTCAATTTTCAAATAATTTCCGGTGCACATTAATGCCACTGTGGGTTTTGATTATTTCTTCCTCATGTGTATTTTAAAACATTTAGGGCTTCTGTCTAGTGTTCCCTAGCACTGTTTTGCAGCTCGTATCCTATGATTGTCAGACATGTATGTTAAGTACTTTAGAGATGCAATTTAATCCTTGTTTAGTAGGACTTTTTGTTCCCTTTTAAAGGAAAGCTGTATTCCAAAAGAGCAAGGTAGGTGGTTATGCATTGAGGAAGACTTGATTAAAGTACAGTAGACTACCATGGACCTTGGGTAAATTGAAAAATCTTTCCATATCTATATAAATAAAAATGTAAATGTTCGTTTGTTCAAAATCTTAAATCTCCAAAAGTTCTTCACTGATTGCTTTGAAATTTTGACACAACGTTGCATTCCAATACGCGCATGTTTTTATATACCTACTATTATATAGATGTCACACCTGTGACAGGTAAAAACATGCTTTTCCATTTAACCAGACTGAGCCACAGCAACGTGTGGCCGGGTACAGCTAGTATTTATATAATTTTCATTTGAAAATGGTGCTCGAATGATGTAGATAATTTACAAAATGGATCAAATCAACACAATTCTAAATACTAAATTTTAATTCTGATGCTAACCTATTATGAATGAATGAATATCATAAATGGTCTTGCCTGATTATTAGTTTTTGATCTGAATTGGTCAGGATTCTTCAGGTTTCCTGCACTTTATACAATAATCCTTTGATCTCGGTTGTATTTTGGCAATATCAGGAAAATACCCTTATATTTTGTTCTTTAATGGGTCATTGAAAAATATGTGAATATGAGAAAGTTTTGAATATTTGTTAGTTTAGAGAAAATGGATGATGAATGGGCTTGAATTATGGGATATTTGCGCAAACATGGAGCCGAAAGCTAGTTGCTGATGGTGGTAAAAAAAA